AACAATATTGTTTATATCTATAACGAAGTAATTGTATGCAGAGAGTGGGCGATGGTGTCTTTCTTGATGATCTGCCAATTTCCCGTTTTAGAGTGTACGTACTTTCAGAAGGAGCTATTTTTATTGTTTATGCGAATAGACATGCCAATTATACATAACTTTTCGTTTAAAATGTTTGTTGTGTAATAGAATGTTATCTTATTTTTTCCTATTTTTCTTTGAATTACGAAATGGTTTCTGACGTTGCACCGGTGTGTTAATGATAATTTATGATATATTTTAAAATATTAAGAAAATAAATTTAAAAATTTAAGTATTAGGTGAGCGAGGGGTAAAAAAATAATTTATCTTTGTACAGGCACTATTGGTGCTTGTATGTATATATCCTCATCTGGAATTTTAAAGCCAGCTCTGTAAAAAGAATAATCGAAAATTCTTAGCACAAAAACGATGAAGGTTGACTCACGAGCAACCTTTAAGAACTTCGCCGTATCCGGAACTAAGGTTAACTTTTCTTGTTATTTGTCAACAGAAGACTAACGTATACTGGTGTCCTGACGTGAACAGTTTTTATTTGTATGATATCTCGAGTATTTCGGGCAAAGTAGAGAAGTCCCGGCCGCAAAAACAAGAGGTTCATGAACCTCGTTGGTGAATGTGTTCCCTGACGGGTGTGACGGTTGGGCCTGAAAGAATGAGATAGGACGCATATCTATACAAGGAACAAATATTTAATGGAGATCTTCACAGTTTGTAAACAACAGTGCACCATCAATACTAGGCAAGTGGTCATATATTTAAATATTTAATGGAAATCTTCACAGTTTATAAACAACAGTGCACTATCAATACTAGGCAAGTGGTCATATATTTAAATATTTAATGGAGATCTTCACAGTTTGTAAACAACAGTGCACTATCAATACTAGGCAAGTGGTCATATATATAAATATTTAATGGAGATCTTCACAGTTTGTAAACAACAGTGCACTATCAATACTAGGCAAGTGGTCATATTGTTACGTATCTGCTCGTTTGTTAATTTCCGGTATAAATTCTTTTGGAGGAACTTCAGTGATACAAGTTCTTTCTTAATTAAAACTAGTTTATTCTTTCTTGATACAACTTTTTTGTACACAGAATTTCCACAGTCACTTTAAACTTAACAACTTTTATAACACACTCTATAACTCACAGTGATTCACACACTTTACTTACAGTGCCTACTGTTCGCTTGACTCAATTATCTATCTCTTGAATCGCGCTGGGTTTTTTGACCCGGCTTGTATACTAAAAAGAGGACACCTCGAACAAACTAGAGTTGCCAGGAAAATTCATGATCCTTTGAGAAACTCCAGCGTCGCGTGACTTCCGCTGTCGTAGCAGTATGTTTGTATGTGTGGGACTAGCAAGAGTGATGAAGGCTACCAAACAATATGCTCTTGCTAGTGCATGTTCTACCCTTTGTAATTTAGGCTAGTATTCAAAAGAGAGTGTTACCAAAATATAGAACAATAAAGATAACCCTTGCTTTAGTTTTTGCAAATTTTACCACGAGTAATAATCCGCTATTAAATATAAACCTATGCTTCACTATTCCAAGAAGCAACTTATACCAGCAAACGTAAATAAATACTTAATTAAATTACAGGGAAAAGTTAAATAACACCCACACATATGAAAATGAAAGTTAACCCTAAAGTTGGAAGAGAACTTGAGGAATTGTCAGAGAGTAAAACTATGTAAAAATAAGGAAATCTATTAATAGCAGTTAAAAGTTCGAATTATAAGAGTTCTTATGTAGAAATTATAAAGTTATAGAAATGCTACAAAAACTGTTTAAGTCGAAATGAAACAAACTTTTGCTATTCTACGTAAATCCCTTTAGAATTTATACAGATGGAAATCTCTCAAATCCAGGTAAAATTCTGTAAAAACCACTCTTTCAAATCCCAATACTATTTTAAATATGGCAGTAAAACTTTGGGTTTATGACATTAGAAAATGGTGATTGGTGCTTGTTAGACCAGCTGGCCAATGGGCAGTGAAGATCATGGTTGAATCCATCTACAATTACTCCCCTATTTGCCAACAAAATAATGTGTTGTGCTATTTAGATAACATGTTGTTATTCTTGCAAGAGAATTGGACAAGAAGGTGCCTAATCATCACTTAATCCATCCAACCCATGGAAAAATTAAAGTTGGAAACTTGCTTGAATAGTGCTATGTTTTAACTTTGGGGATTAGAGAGAAAAATATATTGAATTTCACTTTAAAAGGAGCAGAAACAAATATAATACAGCCTGGTACTACACTTGGAACTCAACTTTCTAGTTACATCTCATTTCAGTACTTTTATAGCTTCTGTTATATTATTTACAGGTGGACTACTATTGTAATGAAAACCAGTGATCATTGGTTTTGCTTTGTCCTTTAGCAGACTGTCACATAATCGGGTTTAACCAATTTCTCCTTCTATGCATTTGATTTTTCAGCCTGTTTTGGACAGGCTTCATCAAACAGTATTTCAGAAACGTTTTTCACAATTATGGAATCTAAACTGTTAAAAGTTTTCCCTTGCTTATGTAACATCAAGGTTTCTATTCCACAATTCTGGTATTTGAGACAATATTATAAAACTCAAATAAGTATTATAAAGTTCTTAATTTTGAAATAAGACAAAAAATCATTAACTCAAATTGTTAATTTTTGTATAATGGTCACATACATTTTAACTTTGATTCTTCTGTAATAATTAAACACATGACTGACATTTGCATGTTTCTCACCATTAAGCTGCTGTGTCCTATGAGACAGTAAAGGGATTAAAAGTCCTGTCTTTTGTTAGAATTTTCTCAAACTTCACATATTTGAACCTCAAATAGGCTATGAAATACTACTGTGTCACAAACAGTATTTTTCTCACATGCTTTTAGTTAATCCCAAAACACTTCTTTGCCATCTTGGTATTATAATAAAATTGAAAAATATTAATTGGTTTGGTATATACATAATATAGCATATAGGGTATCGTAACTAAATGTGCATGGAGCTCCCATTTAAAGATATCAACATGATTTGTATGTTACTTTGTGATATACATAGAATAATCACATTGCTATATACAATCCATGACGAAGTTAATTAGCTGTTAACTTTGGCATAACGTGACTCATATTTATACCTGCTATATAAATTATATAATTTATAAAGTTTTTTGTTTTTCTCTTAAGAACACTTGAGCATGTTAGAATATTTGGTTCACTGTTTCAATTGTGTTGAATGTTATTTCTTTCATTTAATTTTGTACAGTTATTTTTATACTTGAAATAAAAACACTGCTATTTCAGCTAACATAGTCAAGTAGTTTAAAATAGCATGAAGAAGAGAGTAAAGCTGTTGTTAAAGGACCTTTATTATGAGCTATAGTAAAAAGCCCAAGTAATAATGCCTTTTCAGGTGCATGGTATTCAGAATTATTTCTGAAAATTTTAAACGTGTTTTTGTGTTATTTATTACCATTGCTTGCAAAAAAGAAAGGGCTTATGATTTCAAAACTTGGAGCTGTTTCATTGGATGACACTATAGTCATAAAGTGGTGTAGTTATTTCTTGATTAAGATTTTACTGATATTTATGTTTTGACATTTATTACTTTTAGCTTCAACTGGACGTAGAATGCATATATTTCTAATCAGCTTTTAGGAATTTAATTTATACTTACCAAAAGAACAAACAAACTGACAATTGTATATTTTGTAACTTGAACACAAGGAATTGAGTAAGTATTTTGTAACTTGAACACAAGGAATTGAGTATGTATTTTGTAACTTGAACACAAGGAACTGATTGTGTATTTTGTAACTTGAACACAGGAACTGATTGTGTATTTTGTAACTTGAACACGAGGAACTGATTGTGTATTTTGTAACTTGAACACGAGGAACTGATTGTGTATTTTGTAACTTGAACACGAGGAACTGATTGTGTATTTTGTAACTTGAACACGAGGAACTGATTGTGTACTTTGTAACTTGAACACGAGGAACTGATTGTGTACTTTGTAACTTGAACACGAGGAACTGATTGTGTACTTTGTAACTTGAACACGAGGAACTGATTGTGTACTTTGTAACTTGAACACGAGGAACTGATTGTGTATTTTGTAACTTGAACACGAGGAACTGATTGTGTATTTTGTAACTTGAACACGAGGAGTTGATTGTATGTAAGAGATGGTTGCCTACTTTTTTCTGGGATGTATTAAAAATATCTGAGCGATTTAAAATAATGATCCATACGTTGAATAGAGAACTTAAATGTACATTTTTTATTTTTCGCTTCGTACTTCAATCAGTATAGCCATTACTTCAGTTTGAACCTTTGTTTCTGGTGTTTAGGTATTCCTGACTGTATTGCAGTATGGTCAGACTGAATAATTATATTTTGTTATATAATATGCATGTTTTGATTTTAAGAGACAGTTTATCAAGGTTATGTATTGTTTATATTTTATAGTTTTTCGACCTTGAATTGTGGTTAACTTATAAAATTTGTATTTTCTCCAGATTCTTGTGGGTTGTGGCTTGGAGGATCCCACTCTCCTCCGTCCTCTCCAGCTTCTCCAGTAGAGCGGGTGAACTTGCAGAACTCTGACTACAAGTCGCCTGAACGTCGTTCCTCGATACTGCGAAAAAAGAAACGAGCCGATTCTTTCCCAGCACCCCAGAAACGGGAAGGCCGAAAGGTTGTTCGTTTCGCAGATGCATTAGGACTAGACCTCGAGAGTGTTCGCTATATGGTGAAAAGCGATCTTCCGCCTTCAATACCACAGTCAGCGTTTTCAGACCTGCGACGTCCTCAGCTGTCTCTTTCATCGCCTTACGACATTGAGTTGGTTCCAAATTTTACCATGCCTTCTTTGTCTTCGGACTTTGAGAACCGCGTTCGAGAACAGACAGTCAGCCTTCACAGCGTCTCCACGGCCGACACTACAGTGTACGGTATTGTTGCATTGATGAACTTGACCTTCCATAAGAATGTATTCATACGCTATACAGTGAATAACTGGAACAGTCATCACGATGTTAACGCCTCTTATATCCAAGGGTCAACTGATGGTGAGATAGACAAGTTTGCTTTTAACATCTTTGCTAATCCCCAGGATCTTTCCAGCCAAAGTCACAGCCTTGACTTTGCTATATGTTACGAAACTCAAGACGGAAGAGAATTCTGGGATAACAACAACAATCTCAACTATAGTTTAAAGAGCAAGGCGAAGCACCAGTCCTTTGTCTCCACTAACAACCACAGCTGGGTGCATTTCCTCTGAATTCACGTTCCAATCCATTACATGCAAATCTCAATAGAAATAAGTAATCTTTAGTAGATACATACTTTTTACAATGTGTAAACATAGTGGAATGTGTATAGTTATCTCTACTAGAGGGAGATGGTGTAGTGTCATGCTTTATTGGTTGATTTTTTTAAATCCACGTACGCTTTGGCTATGACGTTACTTTATTTTCGCCACCGTGTTGTATGAAAACATATTTACCTCTGCGCACTTTGTAAAAGTGCCAAAATATTTTTAAGTTTGATGCACATGGCATGCTGAAGAATCAATCTACTGACGTTAAGAGCTGGGTTGAAGTTTAAACTTTGTGAAGGGAGGGTATTTTTGTCCTGTTTTATCCATAATGTCAGTGTGAGTTGAAAGTATATATTTGATTATAACTTAGTATTATTAGCTTTTGAGCACGAAGTAGTCAGCCATGTAAATATATATATAGATTTGCTCTGTACTAGTCCGTTCCAAAGCGTTAAGCGCTTATTATCTAACCTATATAAAAGCCAGTGTGTGTCACGTCACGCTTGATTTATCGAAATAGAAGTCATAAAAGCCAAAATGCCCATCATGATTTTAGTGACGGGGATGCAAGGGGGCTGTGAGGAGGTGTGGTACCTTGAAACCTTACAAGTGTAGTGAATGTTGGTATAATACTAAAGTAAATATGTAGTGTGTGTGTGATCACCAAGCCTAGAGCCAAGTGCATAAAATTTATCACGAAAGTAAAAATATCGATTCAATTTTAAACTTGAATCGTTTCTAAATTTAGCTATTTTCTGTTATATCACCAACGTTTTTAATAATAATAATAAAACCTCTTTAATCAACGGAAACTCTAAATTAAGACATTAACAAATATTTTTCCAGTTTTGTTGTCTATACATATCATTTTATATTTTCGGTACACAGACTAACAAAAACTAACAACTTTTGTTGCTTAGCAACATGACAAATAAGCCATTGTTGGAATGTAGTGTTACCAAAAACGCACTGGGTTTTCTGTGTATTAGAAGTTGTTAATCTAACTGATTTATACCAATAATTATTCTATGAATACGTCACGAATTCATTTCATGAATGATCTTAATTTTGATTGACTCACAAATGAATTTACCGACGTTTGACTGCCTCGACTGCACTTTTCTGCCTCTTTGTTGGTCAAGCTTGATTTCTCAAAATTTATTTATTTCATTTAGCTATGAAATGAGAGGTTAAGGTATACTATGGAGTATCTTTGCGCAAAATTCAATAAACAAAAAATTGTATTTACATCAGAGTTAAACATGTCTAAACCCGCACCAGTATGATGACTACGACATAAAATACGTGTTAAAAACGTGGTTCTTTTGAACATTTATTAAAGTTATGTATTAAATATTCAGTGTATTCAGTGTGTAAGATTTGGAAAGCACGTTTGCATGTGTTAAAATTTTACAGGGGTAATTTTAAAAGTGAAAAACGAGATTGGATGAATGGGAGAAATAGACATAAAGCAATTTTTAAATATCCGCTTATATCCCGAAGCGACTGGGTTTGTTTTTTGTAGTTAAGCGCAAAGCTACACAATGGGCTATCTGTGCTCTGCTCACCACGGGTATCGAAACCCGGTTTCTAGCGGTATAAGTCCGCAGACATGCCGCTGTGCCACTGGGGGGGGGGGGCATGACTGGGATTCTAAATCTTATTTAAGTTCTATTTTGTCTTAATGAAAATTAATTAAACAATCTGCATTCATAATTTAAATGTTTAACAACAACGTGAACACAGAAAATTGTTAAAACTTGAAGCATTTACACGAATAACTTTATTATTAGAACTCATCTTGTACCTTTTGTATATGATGTTGACTACGTCATCATCTTTCAGCAAGAAAGGTCGTTCAGAATCCTCAGTACAACTATTTTAACACGAGTGCGTATAACTTTATCAGCTTCTAATGAAGTTCAGTCAAGAAAACATATTGGCTAAATATTTTAGTGGAATTTGGTTAAGTATCATCACTGTGAAAGGGAAAAAAATCAGGGAACAGTAGTGACACCTCTCTGGTCCGACAAGGATTAATATAAACCCGAAAATCCTTGGTTTTTCTTCTATAAATCCCGGGATTTGGGAAGCTCCATTTTCGTTCAAGATCATATTAAAAATTTTGCGCAGTTATATATATATATATATATATGTGTGTGTGTGTGTAAGTGTAATTACGTTTCCTAAAAGTGATAATTATTAACAATCCTGTTTTGTAGATTGCCATCAGTTTGTTGAATATTTATATGGTATGATGTCTTGCAACCAATCATATTAATAGTTGTAATGGTCTAAACAAAACAAGTTTTTTTTTCAGAATTAAAAATTCCCATTACTTGATTTAAAAGCTAGATATCGAGACATATAACATACATGTATACATAAGTGAGTTTAAAAAATATACATGTTGTGACTTGTCTATTTATTGATACATTGTTAAACTGATTTCATAAGGTAAAGTTTACCTGAAACCGATCATTGTAGTCGCTACCAGGTGGTTTGCAGGAAGAACACTTCTGCATCAGAAATGAGACACTGTTTTTGTGATGACCGGCTCTTTAGTACTCCTTGATGGGGTGCTTCGATAAGTAAAGCCTAAGCTGTTAGGGTTTTGTATATAAAAATTGAATGTGATAAATATATAAAATGCAATACTTTTACGTAATATACATAACTATATATTATTCAATAAAAACATTTACACCTTCTCAAAACTTACAGTACAAATACGAAATGTAAATTTGAAGTGACAAAAAATGGAAAGGTAATTTCAAAGGCGTTATCCTGTTTTCCTACTCATGTAACAGATATTGTTCACTGATCAGAAAATGTGCACGAACGTTTAATTTATCTGCAGGTAAATACTTGTAATAAGTTGAACGAAGATGATATTCTAATAAACGCCTTGGAACATTATTTATTTATGTTTTATTTGTTTCAATTAATATAGCAGCACTGTTGAATATTTGTATTCAGAGTTTGACAATATCTTGATGTGATATATTAAAAAGGTAAAGTACATCACCTACGTTCTGAGCAATTGTTATTTAATGTTACATGATCGATCAACAAAAGTCTTGAATAAAATCTACAAATAAAGAAACATTTAAAATGATAATCGCCATATATTCTAGAAGAGTTTACTTGTTTTATTACATTTTCAAAACTTTTTTTTTACACATAAAGGACCAAGTTAGTAATTCTACACATAGTTCAACTCGCAATCAGTATTATTTCTTATTTTGTAACAAATCTACTGAATTTCTTTCCATTTCTTTAAGAAATTACAAAGATAATTGGCTTATCCATAATATTTTTATTTTAACAGTATCTTATAGCGATAGGTTATCCATTTGAAATTGATATAATCTTCCAGAATTTTTAAGCAATTTAGTTGGAACTGATACAAAATTAATCAAGTAACCAACATGAAATGTAATTTATAAACGCATATTCACAGAACCTTTTCCTCCGCTACACATTTCAAAATTTAATCTATCTGTTTCAATCGATATAATGTGACATTATATGAAAATATAAGGTTTAACCAAACATACAATTACCTGGCTTTTTCGATAACAAAAGATTGGAGTAAACTAAAATGTGGAAGGACAGGTGAAGTGTTTCCTTGCAGGCCGGGCCGGAATGGTCAGGTGGTTAGGGCGCTCGCCTCGCAATCTGAGGGTCGCGGGTTCGAATCCCCGTCACACCAAACACCTTTCAGTCGTGGGGGCGGTATAACGTGACGGCCAATCCCACTATTCGTTGGTAAAAGAGTAGCCCAAGAGTTGGCGGTGGGTGGTGATGACTAGCTGCCCTCCCTCTAGTCTTACATTGCTAATTTAGGGACGGCTAGCGCAGATAGTCCTCGTGTAGCTTTATGCGAAATTCAAAACAAACAAACAGTAAAATTTAAGTTTTGCTATTATTGATAAAAAACTAATATTTGAGTTTGGTTAGACCTAGATTTACTAAGTAGTCATCTAATGAAGTCACCTAAGTAATTATAACAGAAATAACATATAGCTACAACATACACTTACGCAAAGGCAGCACGGTTACAACCACTGAATAAAGAAACACTAATGACAGCAAAACAAAGCCAGAAACAACCTAACAATTCAAAAATCCAATCATAGTAAACCAACCGACCAACACACTTGAAACCAAATCAAAACTTAGAAGCCAGTAAAAATACATTCATAGATTTCATACAACAGTACAGATTTTCACACTCTTAATAGAAATACGCGTATTCTTGAGCCCAAATGCCACACAATCATGTAATCAAAAACCAATTAAAAATAAAAGTCGCCCATTCCAGAGCTTCACCTACACCGGTCATAGGATAACATTCATGGACATGGCCCTGAAAAGGAAAACAGAAAATAAAACAAGAAGGACTACAAGCATTCGAGGAGGAGGGGGGGAGATCAAACTGCACCTGACCCTCTCAGGTCTACACAATGATGTTGATCCGATCGGAATACTTGCAGCTACAAGAGTGTAGCCTGTTTCTTTGAGACAAATAATGATGTTGACTTTCACTTCTATAATGCACCCACAATTGAATGTGTGAAGCATACTTAGTGGCGTCGTGTCAAAAAACCCTGATTCTTTCATCTGTAGACTGATTGCAGCCCAGTGGTTAGTATATTGTGCTGAGGTTCTGTGGTTCGCGTCCCATTATCACCAAAATTAAAAATCACACTCCATATTTATATCCGTAGAGGCGTTATAAGAGTAATGGAAATCCCATTTGACGGTGGATGATTTTGACTAGATGCCTTCCCTCTAGTCTAACCCTTCAAAATTAAAGATGTCCAGTGCAGATAACCTTCGAGTAGTTTTGCGCGACATCTAATAAAATAAGCAAACAAACCATTAAAAATAAAAACTGTAATTAAATGACAGAAAATGAACTTGACTTGAAATTAATTGAACATTATTGGTATTCAGTGACTAAAGGAAAGACGCACACGATCAACAGTTTAAATATTAAAATACTTAACAAGAAAAGAAAACAGGTATAAGACTTCGCTAGGAAGTTTAATTATTTAACGTAAGAAATAAATGTGTCTGAAAAAGCCCAAATTTCTCTCACATTCCACGTTTTCTCTGTCGTTGACCAATCACAAGTTTCTGAAAGTATCTTTGCTCAACGTAATCGATCACAGAACAAACGCCCTCCAGTGGCACAGCGGTATGTCTGCGGACTTACAACGCTATAAACCGGGTTTCGAAACCCGTGGTGAGCAGAGCACAGATAGCTTTGTGCTTAATAACAAACAAACGCCTATACACGGGTAATAAAACTATCTCAGATAGCTTCCTTGACCGAGTGTTGCCATAGAAAGCAACAGAATAACTAGACTTTCCTATGTTGATATACGTTTCAGGTAGTTGGTTTCTAATTTTTCAATTTTACCTCCCCCCCCCCAACCAGATGACGGAAATATTATTTCCACTTTCCACTCTTCTGTGTGTGTGTGTGAATAATATAACTCAAAAAGTTTTCATCTGATTCTGATCAAGTATCGTAGAAAAACTGAGTTTTCCCCAAGAACCAATTGATGAACTTTTGTTGAATGTAGGTCAAAGTAACAGAAGGTCAACCAACTCCGTTATAATAGCAACGAGCTGAGACTTTGAAAACCGGTCAAAACTCGGCAACAAATT